CTGGCAATTTGTTAGCCCTCATTAAAATGCCCTAATGGGGGTTGTGCTCAGCTAATGAAGGCTTTTGCATCATGTGCTCATTTATTTTTCAGTGTTATAACCACGCCTGTTTTTAGATTGTATTCAACAAGAAAAGTATTGCTGCAGATTTTGGGGCATTTCTTGAGTTCTTCTTGTCTAACCATATACTATTTATGTTCCTTTTTTAATAATAACTAGGATTTCACTAGAGAAGACGGTGAGAAATCTGTGACTGGATCTTTCCAATATTTCTTTAAGGGAAATAGCATTATAATGTAATTAGTGTTAAGACTCTATGAAAAACTTATAACTAATAATAGAAATGTTTTGCTTCTTCTCATCTAACCTGTTAAACTTACCTGGTTCCATGTTTTATATAACTTTATCATTCTTACAAATACAACTGTGCATATATAATTTAATAACTGTTAAATATTTTTGGTTATATATTATTATAAAATCTATGTTATGTAAAATCATAATTTTTTTTTAAAAAGGGAGAAATAGCAGTTGCATGGGGCCCCTACTTAGAGCCGAGCCGCATTGTGTTTGGAGGGAAGCAAAGGGGTGGGGAAGTTGAATCCTCTCTCCCCAGTCTGTAGTTAGCTAAGGACTGCTAAAGGTTGGATGAGATGAGATTGGGGCTTGTTAAACTTTTCTGATAATGCAGGTCTGGTGAACTTTATTATCCTCTGTCATCTGCCTCTGTCATAGGTTTTGGTTAAATGCATGCTCCTCCTTTATATAACAATGGCATTTGCCTAAATCTGCCTCTATGTAATAACACTGTTTCTTATTATCACTGCGATGAAAACTTACTTGAGGCTTATTTGCTTCTGCCTCTTCATGTATGGGCATTGTATTAGCATCCTTTCATTTGGGAAGGCATTCCAGAACTGCTGCTCTCTGCAGTTTCTTATCAGTGTTCCATCAGAACTCCAGGGAGATTATCATCTGGTTTTAGCAACTTATTCCTGTTCAGGTGTCTGCTTGAAAAGCACTTTAGTTACACAACAGCTGTGTGCATTTTTCATACATTGCTAAAGAACGAGATCCTTCTAAATGTTCCACATTTGTAATGTACAATTAAACCTGAAAAGGGCTTGTTGGGGAATAGTTTCAACCTGGACTCTAGACTCTAAAACAGTGACGTTTATTTAGAGTTGGTATTCTTCCTGAGCAATCCAAAATCTGTGCCAAGACATCATTTACAATGCCATCCTAAGCAGAGTTACACCCTCTTAAGTCCAGTGAAGTCAATGGGTGTAACTCTGCTTACCACTTTACTGTTAGCGTCTCTGTAGCAGAAGGTAAATCTCTACCTACATATATCTGACAAAATGAGCCTTGACTCAGGAAAGCTTATATCCTGGAAAATTTTGTTGGTCTTTAAGGTGCTACTGGAATCAAATGTTGTGTTGTCTATGAAGTTGCTTTCCAGCTGAAGAAGGAGTTTTAATATGAGCGAGTAAGGCTGCTTCAAACTGGAAATATTTGTTCTGACATAATTTTTAAGAATCTACAATAACTGAATGTACTTTTAATGTACTTTTAAATAATTATTTGTTGTTTATTACTCAAAGCGAATTTATATGTAACAATTTTAATGAGCTATATTTGAAAGTGACATGTCAGGATTTTGAAATAGGATACAACAAAATACAATGGTAAAGCACATCTATTTGCGGGTTTATAGTGTCAGACTACTTTGCTCTGCTAAGCCTTTGTTCTTCATAGCATTAATTAATGGAAACAACCCTAGCTAACAGAACTCCAGACCAGAGACAAGGCAAGCAAAACCTCAAGTTGTTGCTATAGTGAGGTATGTTAAATGTTTTAATCATGGATTTTACTCACTTTAAATAGATGCTCTTCTATAATTAGCTATAGCTTAATAGGGCAAACTGGACTAAGGAAATTTGTGCCAAACTGTTCATGGGATGAGGAATTCTGTGCCATTTTTCACTAGCATTTAACACAATGGAAAAAAAAATCAGAACAAGAATCAGAAGCAGAAAGGTAGCAGGGAAGAGATTGCTTAAATAATGCTTTCCCCTTTTTTCTGCCTTACAATCCATAGCGGGGAGGGAGGATCCCTGTGTCTTTTCTCCCACAGTGAAAAACTAGCTTGGGAAAAATATATTCCCATCTTTTTTTCATTTTAGATGGAAAAGCAGCATGGTATGACAAAGTGGAGGATGAGGAAGGGATGAGAAGCCCATCTTCCACCATTCTTCTATTCCCAATTGCAAGCCTTTTAAGTCTGCTTTTCGTTTTATAAAAGAGTTGCAGAACTCCAGGTCATGTCTAGTTTGGCCCTAAGGTGCACATTACAAGTGTTGAGAGACCTCCCTGCCATTCATAGTCAGCCTGTACGGCTCTTGCAGAGAAAACAAACAGGTATAACAATTTCAGGTCCACTCATGTACCTCAGGAGTCAATCCTTACATTCTGGTTTTTAACATGGAGATATATATGTTGAGAGAAGGGTGGCCATATTTGTTTTAATTTTAGCTCTAAGTAGAAGCACTGAGAAGGCATCTGCTTTTCATATATCTGGAGAATAATGATTCCATAATTTTAATCCAATTGTCTGAACAGGAAGCAAATACAAAAAGTAGCTTCTTTGAAGCAGAAAGAACTAACCTTTTATCTATCTTTATTGATCAGCATCAATATTCTTTCTTGCAAATATTTCTACTTCAAGTTCTCTTACTGTTCACTGTTTCAAAATGAACATTTCCTTGGACTTCAGTGCTATTTCAATGCAAGTAAAATTCAGACCACAAAACCACCAGCCATGTTCTAAGGCAAGACAATTAGTTCTTGAATAAATTAGCACAGCCAGCTTTCCACAAAGCCTGTCAGCCCCAAAGCTTGTGGAGATCTAAGTGGTCTATTTACAGTCTATAATGAATTAAGGACCAAACAAAACAGACTCATTTTACCTATAAAGAGCTGTGTTTACCTAGAAAGGATTGTGATACCAGGAGAGTTTTAAATAAACAACATCTAATTTCTTTGCTCTGTTCTGTATGGATTACTTGTTGAGTGGGTGACAGTGCCATCCTAAGCATTGTTATAACTGCCTAAGTGCTCTGACTTCAATGGTCTTAGAAGGGTATAACTCTGCTTAGGATGGCACTGGGTTTAGTCTTTTTTTTGTCTTTAACCCAGTTTTCCTATTTGCGGAATAGAATTCCTGAAGTTAATTTTTTATTTTTTAGAGAAGTGACTTCAAGTGGGTATGATTTCAGTTTCAGATAGTTTCAGGAGGTAGTCATATTGGTTGCTGGTAGAAGAGCTCAAGTCCAATACCACCTTAGAGACCAGCAAGATTTTGTATATGTTTTCAAGATTCAAAGAAGGGAGCTTTGATTCTCAAAAGCTGATATCCTCAAAATCTTGTTGATCTCTAAGGTACTACTAGACTTCAGTTTGAGAAAACCCTTGATTTTATGTATGTAGGTCTTATATATTCATTGGTCTGAGAAACAGAGAAACTATCCTACACTCAGATAATAGGTAATCTAATTTATACATTCTTAATGTTCTTTGGACAATCATACTTTTTATAGGATGGCCGTATGCTTGTAAAAGTCCAAGGAGGGTAGACCCTCCCTCAGATTTTAAGGTCTTAACTTCCAAAAGAAATGCTTTAATCCATGCCATAGCAATGATTCATCCAACTCAGCTCTCAGTGCTATACCTGAAACACATCTGAGGGGTAACCAATATGCGCGGGGGGGGGATCATTTTCTTAATTGCCTTTTGCCTTATTTCTTTCTTGTTAGCATTCTTAACGTCATAATTGATATTGTTTCATCATATAATCACTAAAATGTTTGCAGTTTTGCTGTGAGTAGTTTAAGGCATAAAACCTTCAAGAGCCTGACATAAATTTAAGTGATTTTAGCTCAGCTGAGTCACTCTAAAAAAATGCTTGCAAACATGATGCTTCACAGCTCAAATAGCAAGATGCAGTGTTAAGTGTTCCCAAATTAGTTTTTAAAGATCTCATTCTTCGTATAACGATGCTATGACTTGGACAGGAAGAGGCCAGGCTTTAGGATTTGGTCAATAGTTCTGGAATACAGATTAGGGACAGTCACAAAAAGTAAATTGTACCTCCATTGCATGGTCTGTTTCCCCCTTCAGAATAATTTACAGACTGAGGTATAGAGAAGCTGATGCAAAGCTGTAAAGCAAAAACACCCTGCTAGCTGGAACCTTACAGACTACTTAGACCGGTGCCACAAATGGGTAATAACACTTTCTGTTAAACAGTCAACTCAGAGGTGAATTAATGCAGCTGTGCAACCTTCTGCCTCTGGTGCAAGCCATTTTCTTTTGGTAAGTAAAAAGATTTAAAACTCAATCCAGATAATCTCAGATTTGTTATAATTTAGGATTTAAATCCCATTGATTTTAATAGGAGATATTTAATTCTCTCTTTGAAGACAAAAGGGTTTACCGGAGATTAACTTTGATTGGAATACAATTTTTTTACACAAATAACTTTATGAAATTAAATTACAAGAGAATCATGAGGTTAAAATGGCCTTGAATACTACCCCCCTTCTCAAAAAAATGGTATCAGCATACAGACCTCTACCCTCACCATTCCTAATAAGTATGTACAATTCAGATCCTTCAAGTTAACTAGACTTGACTGGGCTGCAGCCCTCTATGAAGTGGCTGTTTAAATAATATTTCTACTAGACTACCAACATTCCAAGAATGGAACCACCAAATTCTCTAATCAGATGACTATCCTATCCAAAAGTTGTAAGACTGCCCTGGTATTAGCACAACAGAATCCTTCAGACAAAATGAAACACACCAGTTAAGCTGGCTCCCACACACAAAACCCCAACAAAATCCACATATCTGCAAGCTCAGAGGCTCTTGACTGGGCAACCAAAGTTGAGTCACAAAGAGCACATCCCCTGCTATTCAAAGCAAAGATAGCAATTTACCTTGATTGGAGTGGCCTGTGTTTGACGACAGGGAGGACTTTTGCTTCTGCCGTTTCACTGTCATCATCACCTGCTCCTGGACCCTCTGTTTCCCTGTACCCCTAGTTTTCAGTTTGTGATCCGAGGGCAAAGCTAGAGTTGAATTGGCCTGGTCTTGAAAACACTCATAAGCCAGCGCTGTTTTCAGTGGAGAAGGAGAGTGAAGCATGATTGCGGTGGCAGTGAGGTGGGATGTCACCTGTCTCTCCTTTGAAACTTGGGGGGGAAAGCGTAGCAGCGGCAAAAAATCTTGATCTGGTGTAGATTGTCAGGGAGCCCTCCTTGCCATACGTGCCTTTGCTGACAGCGTCTCTTTCCCCACACTCTGCTCTCCAGTGTGTGAGAAGGCACGCCCTCTGCTAGACTGGATATACAGCCTTCTGTCTGTGCCTGCACACACCCACAGCTGTACTCTGGTTGCAGATACCAAAGAAAGCACAATACACTCTCCCAGGTGCTGCAGAGTTGGTAACAGTGCTAGTGCTGCTCTGAATGGTACTGCACTTGAAAAAGTCAACATACATGCAGCAAGGGATAAAGCAGTCAGGATGGACGGATGGATGGATGGATGATGTGGGAAGGATACAAAGTAACAGCAGAAGAAAGAATCACCTCCTTCAGCTTTGCATCGCTGTGGGTCCTTTTGGCCCTCTTGCTTGGCTTCTCTCACTGCAATTGTTTAGTACCTCCAAACCTGCAATTCACTGCTCCTCTCTCTTCTCTGTTTTAAATAGGTCACTAATAGGAATCAGTTGTTTTATTTGTTAATCCACAAAGTAATGGCAGGCATGATGTTAGCAGACAGAAAGGCTGGCCTTGAAGGAATCTTGTGTCTCAGTTAGATTTTCTAAGATAGTTCAATATGGAGGCCAGTGTAAGCTGAGTTCAACATTCTTTGGTTTTTCACTAAATAGTTTTAGCAGATATGTGCTTGTATATCCTAAAAGAAGTGTTCATAACACAAAATCAGATCAAGAACCACAAGTGGGCCATGAAGGAGACATTAATACAGTACTGTTAAATTGTATTATGTCCTAATGAAACCATGCAAAATGCATTGCAAAAGAGGTAACTTTAACCTATTGCCTTGACCTTCATTATACATGTCTGTAAACTCAGAGCAAAATCCTAAATATATTCTAAAAGAAGTAAGCTCTTGCAGCTGTTGCTCCTGTGACCTAGCATAAGAGCTCTTCCTATATTTACCTTGCACATCTTAACTAATTTATACAGGAAACGAACTCTTGCAAGGAAGTCTAGTTTGATCTAGCAGCATTCGCTTCCTCCTATCGATTGTCAATAAAATTATCCCTCAGGTCAGGTTGGGCAGTAACCCCGGAGTTTTCCTACCCTTTGCAGCTACACATACCTTACATGACTTGCTTGAGTTGTTGTTGTCTTAACACTGCTGCAATGCAAGGAATGGTGACACACAATGGTTCCAGTTGTGTGGATTGATTGAAGGAGAGGGCCAGTGAGCAGAGAGTCCCATCATGCAGCAGCTGATAGATTAGATGCTCTTTTTCTTCATCCAGATTCCATTCTTTTATAATTCTAAACATCCAGAACAGGGAAAACTACATATTCGGATTAATTTAGAAAGAGAGAACAGTGAAACAGTCATAAGTGCCTTTTACAACACAAGGCATTGGATAAAGGGCATAAGAAAGACAAAGCCCTGTCCAAAAAATCTATATTAATATACAAATCAAGAAAGCAAGGAATGGGCTCAGTTTAGATGCTAGGTGCATCTCTCAAAATATTGGAGGGCTGGCATTAGAAATTGTGTTTCAAGGACTGTATATGTCTCCTGAGCAAAATAAGAGACACATTTGCCGCAGCAGCAGCGGCTTCTTCTTGCTCTCCCCTGCTGCAGGAGGCTGCACACAGTATACAGTCTCTTCTTGGACTTTCTGTATTGGAGTCTCCATGTTATGAGAGAACCTTCCAGAAAGTGTGAGGGAAGTTCCCCTTTGGACATCATCTGGGAGATGCTGTTTTATAGGGTGTTGGAAGCCTATGAAAAGTTTGATGGGTTTGATTATGAGTTTGGAAGTTGAGATGGTATGATGTTATTGTGTAGGGTTTTTTTTTTTACATGCTTCCGTTTTGGGGCAGTAGTTTGATATGTTATGTAATTGATTGAATTCCTCTTGTTCCTCGCCTTCAGGTCTCAGCTAGGATGGATGGATGAATACAACTTCCCTTTCTACTGTCTTTCTTTCTGCCAAGAAGAGAATGAAGGGAGCTGCAGGAGGAGGTTGAGCTTTCAACAATGCTAACGTAGCAGTGTGACTCCTGTGAATCCATAGGAACTGGATGGGGATGACTGGATGGTCGGGAGACATGGATGGCATAGTGGACCCTAGGATAAGTGACAAAAGGAAGGAACAGCAATGACATTGGAGAGGTATGCAGAACAAGAGAAAATGATGTGCTGGTGTAGTGTAGTAATACTGGACTATGATCTGGGAGACCCAGCTTCAAATTTCCACTCTGCCTTAGAAGCTTGCTAGGTGACCCTGACCAGTCACTCTTTCTCAGCTTAATCTAGTTTACAGGGCTCTTGTTAGAAGACAGACTGGTGGAGAGGAGGACAATGTTGTAGCCGCCTTGAGCCAGTTTGTACCAGCAAGGCGGGGTATAAATTGGAAGTAAATAAATAAAATAAATAAATAAGTCTGTGGGATGCAAATATCTAAATAAATAAATCTGTATTTTTTGTGACTCCTGATCATGTTTATATTTTGCCCTTCAGTCTAATTTTTCCAATACTTATCTACATAAGGTTTATTTTTCATCAAGGATACAAACCCACAAAGATTATCTGGATACCGTATTACACTAAGTACTTTTCACTTCAGCGAGCACAACTGAATAGCAGCTCCTGATATTTATACAGGTGTTCCATCATGTTCCTGCCTTCTGCACTGATGCCCTTATACATTCTATAAACTCCTTTTATATGGTTGTAATAGGTTTGCATGACATTGCATGATACAAAAATCTGGTGTTTCTTTTTTAAAAAATATGCTTTTAATAAAATTGATAATTGTGACTATATCAACAAATATTTAATGGACTATATTAACTAGTTAAAATAAAAAATTATTTAATCTTCAAACTTTAAATATCAAATATTAGATGTTTAATTTTAACCTACCATTTTTAAAAATATTAACATATACAATGTACTATAGTTGCTATAATTGAACTATAATAAAACAATATATTTCAATGATATTTCAAAGAAGTATAATAATAAGCTAGAGATACATCAAAAACCGATTATATATATCATGGAATACTGGTTATACTAATTATAGTTAGCCAATTAGCCGGTATATATAACTCAAACAAAAACTTTGTCAGAGTCCATAAAACAACATTTCAGTAGCTTCATACAAATCAAAATTAATAGAAATTATTTGTGTCACTTGTGTAATTCATTAGTTTTGCCATTATAGCATATTCTGCCATTTTGTTTTTCCAGTTTTCACAAGCTGGGCATTCTTCCACTTCCCATTTAGTTGCTATTACTACTCTGGCTGTAGTTAACATGTATCTAAAAAGTTCTTGTAATGTTATTTCAGTATTGTCTGGTAAAATTCCTAGCAACATGGTCTCTGGTTTCATAGAAAAACTAATTTTAAAGATTTTCTGAATCTCAGCATGTATGTCTTTTCAGAATGTTCTAGTTTTTCTGCATATCCACAACATATAATAAAAAGTGCCATCTGCCTGTTTACACTTCCAGCACATCCCTATATACTTCTAGTCCATGTTTTCAATACCTTTTGGGGTGATATACCATCGGAAAACATTTTATACCAATTGTCTCTTAATGCTTGACTCACAGTAAAATTTTGTATCATTTGTCCATAAATGTTTCCAATGTTGAAATGATATTTCTTCTCCAAAGTTCTGGATCCATTTCATCATACACATTTTAATTTGTTCTGTTTCTGTATCATATTGAACTAAAAGTTTATAAATTTGACCTAACAGGTGATCCTTCTGTTGGGTGATTATCTTTTCAAATTCAGTTATTTGACCCCTATAAGAATAGAAGAAGAGAAGAGATTGGATTTATACCCCGCCCTTCACTTGGAGTCTCAGAGCGGCTTACAAACTCCTTTCCCTTCCCCTCCCCACAACAGACACCCTGTCAGGTGGGTGGGGCTGAGAGAACTCTGACACAAACGGCTCTTTTTCAAGGACAGCTGTGCCAGAGCTTGTGACTGACCCAAGGTCACATCAGCAGGTGCAAGTGGAGGAGTGGGGAATCAAACCCAGTTCTCCCAGATTAGAGTCCACGCACTTAACCACTACACCAAACTGGCACAGAAGTGTGGGTAGCTTCTGTAAGTCTTGAAGTTAGTTGGAAATATACTAGTCATTGTATCTTCTTCCCTTCTTCTTTGTTTGCCATGATTTAATTTCTCCTTGTGAGTTTATCATGTCTTGGTAAGTTATAAAGTCATTGGATTTCCTCACATGTTTATCATAATAAATGTTGAGTTCAACATTTGTATAAATAGGGAATTGGCCAAAAAGACTGACACATACAAATAGGGAATTGGCCAAAAAGACTCACACAACCACTTTTAACTTTAAAAGGGGTAATTTTTCTGATATGAGGGGACATGTGGGGAGGAAACTGAAGGGAAAAGTAGAAAGGGTCAAAACCATTGGGGAAGCTTGGAAACTGTTTAAAACTACAATTCTAGAAGCTCAAATAAAATATATTCCGCAGGTTAGGAAAGGCACAAACAGGTATAAGAAAAAGCCTACATGGTTAACAAACAAAGTAATGGAAGCTGTAAAAGGTAAAAAGGATTCCTTTAAGCGGTGGAAAGCTAGTCACAGTGAGGCTGATAAAACGGAACACAGGCTATGGCAAATAAAATGCAAGTCTGTGGTCAGGCATGCAAAAAGGGAATATGAGGAGCATATAGCAAAAAATGTAAAGACCAACAATAAAACTTTCTTCAAATACATTAGAAGCAGGAAACCAGCCAGGGAGGCAGTGGGGCCCTTGGATGACCAAGGGGTAAAAGGAGTAGTGAAGGATGATAGGGAAATGGCTGAGAAGCTAAATGCATTTTTTGCCTCCGTCTTCACTGTGGAAGATGAGAGGTGCTTGCCCACTCCAGAACCGCTGAGTTCGGGCGGGGTGTTGAAAGACCTGAGTCAGATTGAGGTGACGAGAGAGGAGGTCCTAAAACTGATAAACAACTTAAAAACTGATAAATCACCAGGCCCAGATGGCATACATCCAAGAGTTCTGAAAGAACTCAATTGTGAACTTGTGGATCTCCTGACA